CTCCGATCTAAACTCATAAGCGTTGGCTTTTAATGGATGCAGATGAGAAGCCGCCTCAATACTGGTTCGGAAGATGATCATCATGGCAATGGATTCGTGGGCTGGGGCTGTGCCTTTGAGGGCATGAGGCACGAAATTTGGGGCCCGTACCAAAATGGTTGGAGGGATGCTATAAAGTGGGAAACGGTGGAAAAGCGAAGTGAAACGTTCAAAAAGCTTTCGTTCTACACGACTCAGAAAGCAATTTTTCCCGTTGGTATCCTGCCGATAACCGCTACGATAGATACGACTGTGTGTACGCAGTTATATATCCAAGCAGCACTGCAGCCGCTTCGGCTGCTTTAGTAATTCGCAGCTGAAGCTATACGAGCACCACCACCGGTCGGACAATCGTGGGCGTGCCGTCGCGGTGGGCGTCCGGGTTGGTATGTTGCAGTTTAGTAGGGCGTGAGGATATCACAAGGATGCAGATACTTTTATTGGACTGACGTTTCGGCGAACATCGCCTTCTTCGGAGCCTGCAAGTCGAAACTTATCATCGAAACAATTCACTCAAGCACCATTTCTAATTACAGTAAGAAACTACGGGCTAGGATATCTTAGAACTAAGTCGAAAGCCACCAACCTTTTGACGGGTAGAACTTCTACCGGGCTTTCTGAAGTTTGAAATGGTGTTAGGTGAATTGAAAATGGTGAATTAGGAATGGTGCTTGAGTGAATTGTTTCGATGATAGGTTTCGACTTGCAGGCTCCGAAGAAGGCGATGTTCGCCGAAACGTTAGTCCAATAAAATATCTGTACAAATCTCGGGAGGCTGAAGAAACATTCTGAATTATTACGCTATAAGGATAGCTTTCTTGGAAAAGGCATCACGCAGCGCCTGCTCAGCGGAGCCGAATTCTGTTAGGGTTTTATCGTGTCACTTGCCTTTATGCACAACTGTCTAAGAACAAAACCTTCTCTACTGATGCGAATACCTGATCTTCGGCAATCAGGTACAGAAATGGGTGGCACCACACGACTTCAATAAGGCCATCATTGCTCATCACAATGTCGGGCCTTCAAAATCTGTAAAGCCATCGGCCTCGCGGTTTATTGCCGATATCTAATGGTTATGGCTGACTTCTCACTAGGTTAAACGTGTTAGTGCTGATAGGACATAAAATCCGTCAAGCTGAGAGGTAAGAGCGGCCTTGGTGTCGTAGCAGATCCCGGAAAGCGTGAGGTATGGGTTCAAGTCCCACCTAGAGTGGGACTTTTGCCCAAAACTCAGCATTCTGTGGAAACTTTCGGAACGCGAACTGCGACGTAAAGCAGCAGTTATCATATTAAAACAGCTTTTTATAATTGTTTCTGCAACCTTATTCACAATATATTTCGATGAAGGAAAAACACCTACCTGTATAAAAAATCGTATCTCAACCTTCCTCCGCGATCGTCTCAAAGCATCACAAGTACCATGTGCATGCATCTGGGAAACCGCCAGTCATTGCTAGTCTTTGACAAAGGACAATTCTTTGACGAGGCGAAGCAGCTTACTTTATTATTCATCTTTATCTTGATGGCAGTAATACTGTCAAGAACCAATTTAACTGCACACCATGTGCAGCCAGTATAGAGATCGGTGTAATGAGAAATAGCATGACCACACGGTGTGTCAGCAAATACCCATACCCAAAGCTCTGTGTCGTAGACAACGTAACACGTATCCTCTGAAAAAGCTGGTCTTCATTTGTTTCCTTCAGCAAATTACACTGAGCAGGCAGCTTTATGATGACAACCAAGTGGTTACCAAAGAAGTATACGTCCCAGGTATCATTCTCACTTACCACTTCGACGTGGTGCACAACAGAAGTCCCAACAGGGCGGCTAAATACGACCCCCCCATTGGGGAATCTCCAATAGGGGGTCGTATTTGGCCGCCAGGAGAGGGGGTCGTATTTGGGCTGGGAAAAATTTATTTTGATAGTTGATTTTTCTCGCTTCACGGACGTTTAAAAGGGGGGGGGAGGTCGTACTTGGTCATTGTTGGGAGGGG